GGATCGCAGAGAGACACGGGATTGGCTGAGGCCAGGTGGTCCAATATGTCTGCGCCCTAATCCGACGCCACACCACACCAAAATATGTCGCTAGATACCTTTTGCTTGATAGTGGGTGTCTTTCATCAATTTTTTTATCGAGCTTTATATATTTTTGAATAATAATAGACATCTGTGTTATAAAATTAGCGGGTCTTCTTATCTATATGCCTTCCGTCTTCAATATTACTGAAGTTGATTGGTTCTATCACTTGTTATTGGTAATATTTCTATGTGTGCAATTATCTCCTGCTTTTCATTTGATTGGCTGGGATGACTTGGTAAATAATTATCTTGGAGTTGGGTCGTGGTATTTATGCTTCAAACCACAGGAGCACGTTTTTTCACTCCTGTTTGTGTGCTTCAGAAGAATAGCCTCTGTTCATATTTGTTTAAATTCCCATTTTGTGGAACGATGTTGATGACTACTTCCTTGCCCAAGTATTTTTCGATAGTTGGCTACTCTAATTGTCGGTCATGTTGAGTTGTATTCTCATCACATGTCTGCAACTCGATTATTTTTTGTTGCAGGAAAAAAGGACAAGACTCATGAATGTATAGCCCCTGCTACTTTTTAAGCCTTATTGCAAATTTCCCATAACACATTTCTTGCGGTTACCACCTCAGTACATTCTTTGAGTTTTAACGGCGTTGCAACTATCTCACACTCCCTAGATGTGTGTGTCGAATGAAACTATCTTCTGGAGCTCACTTAGGCCAATTTTATACAGACTGTGCCAGCTTCCTACAGTCACTCATACCAAGCCTTATGAGTTAGTAAAAATGACACGAACTACTCGGATACCAACTTTATGCTCAGGACCCGGTACGCAATTTTTGTCCGTTGGGTCATTCGAAAAAAATTATAGTTTTTAGATACTTTATTGTGATATTTGTCGTCATGACTTATCAGCGACGTGCTTGTAATTGTAGGACACCTGTTGAAAGCATATTAACCTATGGCGGTAAAATCCATGTTAATTTAAAAATCTACCATTCTTTCGCCTTGAATGTTCGGCGTGCCAAAAATTTTGGCACATTCCCTTCCTGCTCGTTTTTTCGTAAGTGAAAGGCGTTGTTTTTAATCCTGTTGGGCATTTGCTTGCCTCCGTGTTTCGCTGACGAATTTTTGTCCGATATTTACTGTGACCACTCGGCTTGGTTTCGATTTTTTATCAAGTATTCTCTTTTTATAACATCATTCTTTTCTGACGAATCCCCTTAAGGAGTGCTGTTCTCTCTGACCCATGTTTGTCCTAATATAGCTCTTGTTTGTAGTTTCTTTTGCTTGAATGTGCATTACTGACACCATATACCCCCTTCCACAATTGAAATTCACGATGCGACTTTTATTCCACTAAAATTACTGGCAGTGCCCCATGCGCATTTCATTTTTCATAGCTAAATTGTCGACCTTCTTCATGCTTAAGTTGTTTCTCCTAATACATGGGGTGTTTTCCAACATGATGTATCTTATACGTCCCAAAATAGTTCACCTATCCTTTTTCTCGTACATTTCTTTTCCCCTTTCAAGCGCAAGTCCCACTCACCAACTGTGTATCTTGTCGTCCTGGCAAACAGAGGCTTTAAATCTCTGTTTTCAACAAACATCGAGACTTCTTTTTGGTAATGTGCTACCTCAAAGGTTCCTTCTACGTAATATTACCATCATGTCAGTGGAAACGGCCTAATTTCCTTCATCAGGCTCTTACATCTAGTCAGTTTAAACACTTAAATAGTTTGTGGTAGCTTTGATTAGCTGAGTCAAATTTATTGTGGGCTGGAGCTTTTGAATTGGAAGCCTCATATTTCTTCTGTGTTTGGATGTAGAATGTCTGAGTCTATCGGCCGCTCTTCTCCACGGGTAGATTGCAAATCTCGTCGTCCTGATGGGTCGCGGACTCTAACGTGAGTGTCTATTAGTTTCGACGTTGATTTGTGAAATCCTCCAAAAAATTACATTTGGTCTACTGAACCGGTGGTCATCCCTCATCCTATTTGGCTTTGTCTTTTCAAGAAATTTAAGTTAATATGCACGAGTCACCGTGATGCTAAGTTTGATAAATATCGTGTTTTTGGACTATATACCAGATATTTCTGGGCCTTAATACAAGCATGGTGACAAGTCTAAATTAAATGTTGCCTTTAAAAATTACTTCGCGGTTTGAATTTCGTCACTGCAATGCGCAATGTCAAAATTTCTTATAAGTTAGCGTCTTGGTAAAGATAAATCCTAAACCTACCCTAATTATTGTACCGTTTGATCATGTCTAGCGGGCCATTTTCTTATTTTAGACCCGAAAAAAAGAGATTTGAAGAGGACGTCTCCCCCGTCTCACTTCACGACACATCAACATCATCCGACCGCTCCTCATCAGCCAGATGTAAACGCCACCACCGTAAATCTGCTAAGAGAGATGCCCGTGAAAACGATGACATTTGCAGGTCACACAGAGACAGAGACGGTAGATATTGTGAATACAAACGTCGAAAGCGCTATGAGGATCGAGATGAAGATGAAGAAGAAACGAGCAAAGCTCAGTCTAAGCATTCGCGACTTGATGATAGTTATGATCGCGATGACAAACGAGGGAAGGAGTCCGAAGGAGGGGCATGTCGTGAAAAGGAAAAACATCGAAGAGGTAGAAAGCGTTCAGTGGAGAGAGAGGAGAAAAGGGGCAGTAAACGAAGGTACAAGGAAGAACGTGAGGGCTCGTCAAAGTGCCGGCGATCAGGAGGTGAGCATGGCCACGCAAGCATGGATAAGGAAGACAAGGAAAAACGCTCTAGAGTAAGTTACATGGTTCTCTTCTGCATCGCTTTACAGATGCTCTTCATCAAACTTTTGACCGCGTTACCAGATTTCTGTATTCTCCAAATTCGAAAAGCGAAGAATTTGGAGAACACTACCTGAGTTCTATACATGCAGGATTAACCACGTAAGAAGCTTGTCGAAAATGTCGCTACGTGATATAGGTGATAGACAAGTTAAGTTCCAAATAAATTGCAAAATTTGCCATGATTTTGACGTAGGTAGCCCCTGTATTTTTGTTTACTATTCCCCGATGTTTGTCTTAGCTCTGATTGCTGGTAAGGTACCCTTAAACCTCACAAGCTCTACCGTTTGGGACCTTTCAGCGCCGAAGCAGATCTCAAAACTCCCCGTTTCGAGTCTCCTCAGCACATAATGATAGATCCTCACCCTCCACCAAGCAACACCTCAATCCCTTCGTAAGTACTCTCCTCAAACCGCTCACCAGAGAGGACACCTCAGATACAGAGTTTGAGGAGTTCCTTCCAGTTGGTTTCCTTTCCGGAGAACTTGCCAAGCGTTCGATGCCCTTGCCAGCCGACCTGTTGCAAAAAGTGGCGTCGTCACAGCCGCAACAAAAACAATCGCCTGACCAGGCCGTGTTAACTGGCCCACAATCGGTAGCTAGCACTGAACCACAGAAGTCTGTTGAGGACGGCGAGAATCGGTTTGACAACTTCCTCTCTCGCCTGTCAACTCGTATGCAAGAGCAGGGACTAGAACCTGAAACTTGGAAAGACAGAGAAATTGATTTTTCGGAACTCTTGACAGAGGAGAAGAATGCACTCAGGTTGGCTGCATCAACAACAGCGATGAAACAGAAGCAGTTGTTGGAGTCGAGTCTCTGCACGCCGTGGCAGGGAATCACTGAAAAGAATCCAGAAGACGTCGACGATGAAGAGGCCCTCAAACTGGAAGCAGTAAGCAAACATTGCTTAATTGTTAGAGTAAATTCTGTGTAGTATGAAAAAAAGGTTTTATTCTATTGTGCCTTTTTTATTTCACATCTCTGTGCAGGTTGCCTAACTAAAAAGTGGTCACTTTCTGCTTTGCGGTAACCGATGCTCAGATTTTGGGTGAAGTGATCTCCCATTTGGACGAATATCGGTTTAATGACGAAACTCCGGGCCAAATGATTTATTGATATGTTCGATGTTTGTAATCGTATGCGTCATCTTTGTAAGGTTGTCAAAACATGCAGCTTGTTCAGATTAAGACGGAAAACTTGTAACTGGTCAAAGTTAAAGTTTGATTAGAGTAGCTGTTTGTATGATCACATCCACGGTGAGGTCATAATTACTTGTTCATTCTCAAAAAGAAGCCATTTTACCCTGCAGGAACCCACTGAAGACAAGGGGGAACAGCCAGTTAATTTGGTGGCTCTGGCGTCGATGGGTTTCAGTCGACGTTTTCTCGGCGATCGATTGGCCAGGGAACTAGAGTCCAGAGGTCTGTCTCTCCCTCCAGCGACGGGCTTTCCACACTCCACGACGCACCAACCCTTGAAAGGAACAGTTCCAACCATATTTGGAGAGATTCGCTGGCGCCAGAGCCTTCTTGGGATTATTCATGCCTGATTGGTCGACAATGTTTCACTATCTCCCAGTTGTAAATATATCTGTGCCTAATTTGATTTTACATTAACTTTCCCACTTCTTGTTGGCTTCCGTAAACAAGAAAAAGTGGTTGTCTGGGATATTAAACTTGCCAGTGTTTGATTTTCCTCTGGCTTCCATTATCTGGGCTGTGACGGTTTCCTACATTGCGGAAAACGATGTACCATCTCTATTGCACCACAGCGGGTTTATCGGTTTGTTTGTCAACACACTTCAGTGCCAAAAGTCCATATATTCAGGACCTTATTTTTGAAAGATGCATTTTCGGGCCGTCAAAACAGTGTTGTAACATTATGGCTAAGCGTAAAAAAATGCTGGTGGTTATAAGATTGCGTACTTTTTGGCGTGCCAATGTTTTAACGAATCATTTTATAGACGTAAAATTAACGATTAAAATGCCCAGTCGCACGTCCATTCGTTTTCTTGTGGTGCTCTTGCTGTTATCGCTAAATCCAGTTACTTCCTTAAATCCTCCTATTGATCTGGCTTATGCAGTTAGTACTCCGGATGTCTGAAAACTGCGTCTGCAATGGGTGATGTCACTTAATCATTTTTAAGATCCAAACGAGCGATGACTGGTGAGTCATACAATTGAGGAGACGGTTTCAACATAAGGTTGCCCTGTTTTTTAACAATAAATTTGGGACCAAATTTTACTTTTTTTCTGCGTTTTACTTCAAATCTGGCAATGTTCTAGTCTTGATAGGAGAAAAGTCCGAAGACATGTACACTGATTGTGTTAAATGTAACTGCTCTGTGGAAGTGATAACCGGTGAATGTCTATGTTCATAGGTATTTTACACACAATTTATGTCCTCCACGCTGTAACATGGCGCTACTATTAGCACAAATATCGACAATATTGGTTGCAACGATCGTCACCAGAGAGGTCAACAAGCGATTAAAGATTACGATGAAGTTCATCAAGGATTACCGCAACCAAACTACACTAATTTTTTTTCGTTTGATCGGCCATATTTTTTCTGATTCGACTATAAAACTGAAATTGTGATATGTTGGCGCTCATGCAAACTATGTGGCAATGAACTGGGTCTTAACTCCTATGTATTCTACAAAGAGTAATTTTACGTTGACGTGTTCCTCGATCTCGACAAGTGTATTCTGTTGTGTAGGCTAATGCCAAAATGAATTCATGATTCTAGTGAGTATAAAAATGGTTTAATGTTTTTTTTTCAGAAGTCATAATTATGTTAATCTAAGTCAAAAACGTGACAGATTAGAAGTTACACCACAACAATACACATTACATCACATCTAACTACTTGCCTTTCAGGTGTGTGATTTTAACCCTGTGTATTTTACTTTTTTGCAACTCGCTTTTAATGTGGTTTGAGCTTAAAACCTCGGTCTTGCAATAGTGAATAAGAAAACTTAACAAATCGAGTTTGGCTTGAAGGAACTAGTTGAAATGATAGTCTGAAACGGGGTCGTTCTCGACGTTTGAATGTGATGTACCTTTTGAGTCCTGAACAAGCTTCCAAAATCTGAAAACAAGGTGGTGTGTGATGGTGCCAAAAGAGCTTCAATGTGTCCCCAGAATAAGGGTTGATTCGTTTGCCGAATCTCTGTGTTTCAAAGTACTTTGATAGGTAACCTCAGGAACCTTTTCGCAATGATTGATCCGACACTATAGTTAAAACTTACTTGGTAAAACAGGCCTCAGGTGGTGGGCGTTTCCATATTTCGTTAACGCGTTACCCCAGGCTTGACCTGTCATGAAGTGCCTCAAAAGTGACGCGCGATTTCCCACATCGTTGTGAAAATCATCGTACCATACCTTCACGTCTCTAACCAATTCGACAACATAAGGGTAGAAGTTAGTGTTTCCGAGGCCTACCACGTAGCCTTATGAATCATGATTTGTTCAAAACGTGTACACTCAGTGAAAACTGGAACATTGCTAATTAAAAGGCTTTTTTTCACAACTACGTTTAAACTAATAGGAGTTGCATCGAAACACTTGTTGTGAATCGTGTTTATTCACACCCCTTAATCCGGTCGCCCCACCTACGACACAGGGTTCCCCTTTTCGTAGCATGTCGCCAGCCGCGCGAATCCTCAATTCCCCCTTCATCAGCACGAATATTTATCTTAGAGTATCCCTACACCTAGGTCTCGATGTTAGCGCCTGTATGACTCACACATCCGAGGTATGAATACACACCCGCAAATCCCACACACGACACGACGACACCGACGTGGTTGAGCTCTGAAGTAAACGGTTGTGTCCACGTCCTCTCCGACCTTTTTCTTCATCGCCAGTATTAGGGGAACGTAATCGGGCTAGAGTTAATTCCGTGACCCCGGCGTGGTTTAAGACCACATGCTGGGGCACACAACACACTCATGGCGTGATGTGACACCCTACTGATTGGTGAACCTAGCCGATTTTCGCGTTGAACTTTATTAGAAGTCTTTTTAACACAATTTAGCTCAATTGCTGATGGGCTAAAAGCGTTGTAAGTATACTCACTTGATAACCTTTATGGTTAAACTATAAGTGCCTAAAAATAACCAAGAATCGGGGGCGATGAAAACAGCAAGAAAGTAGCAGCAAGGCGTGGGGTTCACTGGCGCTTGTTCCGCCGAACTTTGAGTAATAGTTTTCTTATCAAGGAAGCAAATGTGGCACGTAGAAAGAGCCTCCAGCACAGGACCAGAGAGGCGGCAGTTACAGCCGCCAGTACGAGTACCGCCTGAACGGCATGTTCGCGGATTCCAAAATACTGGGCTAGGGTGTTGGCTTCACCAGCTAGAAAGAATGCATGCCAACAACAGGTTAGAGAGGTTTCATCCGGATCCAGAAAAGGAGGCGTGTCGAATAGTCCGCCATCAGTAAAACAGGGAAAAATTACCCCTCTTTCATTTTAATACTGTTTTCCATCTGCAGAAAATTGGTGCTTCCCATTCGGGATTTACTTACCCAGAAAGACCGCAAAGCTGTTTACAATTGAGCTTTCAGCAAGGGTATTTGATGAGAGACGGATGCACGATTGCATAGTTAAAAAGAACTTGCCTTCCTACGCGGTGTTTCGGGTTCATGGAATCACTAACACACAAAGTGGGAATGAAGGATTGAACGGTACTGTTACCCCATGTATTGAAGTATCATTATGGTGACGACATTGCCTTAGGTGTCTCTTTGTACTCGTTTTAAGTGAGAATTCAGTACGATCAATTAAATCTGTTTTAAAACGGGAACTTCTTACCTAAACAAGTGGGGGTTTAGATTATACACGGAATTTAGGGAACATTTAGAAACTGGTCTTCTACACAGGCAACGTGGAATGGAGTAACACAGGAACCGACATACTCGCACAGGCGTGAGGTTCACAAGGAAAAAATTCAATGCTTGACCCGTTGCAGTCGAGATGCTCCGAATTCGGGAATTTTTCAGCCACAAGACACCGTCGGGTGCGAATAGCCCACCGTTCCAGACCACACGAGGGGGTGCACCGACCCCAGGGGGACCACAGACTCCACACGCCTGTCCACGTGGCACACATCGGGGAGTCATAGCCCTCTTTGCACACGCAAACAGCCTGGACAGAGGAGACAAAAGCCTTTGTACTGCAACTACCCAAATTTATCACTCGACGCTATCCGTCCAAATCAAACCGCGAGAGATGACCGTTATTGTCCGTTTGGAATAATGCTTGTTGTCTCGTTTCAGACCATAAGGAAAACCTCTAAAATCCCACTACAGCAGTTGTACAGTGTTGTACTTTAACTAAAACAGTCTGATTTCAATCATTTCGCGAAGGTTTTTTACAGGAAATGAAACAATAAATACCCTAAAGAGTGGCTTTATTCCTGGTCCACAATCATTAGTCATGCACACTACATAGTCCAGAGGTTTTTAACATAATTTTTTTTCACCACTTTTACTGGACGGGTAGCAAACTGATTTGTGTTAATTATCCTACCACTAGAACAACAGAATAGGAAAAAGAAGATATTCACTGGCAGCAGCCAAAGCAGATAGTGTCATCATTTGACAAGACGTCAAGACAGGTGTTTTGTGTGGATACGTAAATCGCACATTTACCCATTAATAAACGAACTTAAATCAAAAGGCATGGGCTCGAAGGGAAGGGTGTACATACGGATATAACGGAATGATCTTGCATATTCTACAATGGCGCATCAACGAATCATAAATGGCTTGCATAGGTGGTTCATGTCAGAGTGGCACTTTCTACAAATGCATGACCAATTTCAGAAGAATACTTTGTGATCTATACATCAACACAGAGGCCACAGTGTAATACTTTTAATAACTGTACTAATTGAGCTTACTTCGGTTCCGTCACGGCTGTCCACACATTCACCTTTGATACAAATGATTTGGTCACATTTGGTAACTTTCTTGAGACAGTTGTCATATCGTAAGTTAATATCTCCAGTCCAACGTCCTGAAGCACAGACACAGGTGTATGTCGGTCCCAGATCAGGGTCCAGGGAAGGGACACAAAGATTTCCGTCGTTGTTGATATTGCAGGCTCTATTTCCCACGGCTAACTGACCTCCGTTGGGCAAAAGGGGATTTCGGATAAGTTCCTCGCAGGCGTTTGCCGAAATTGAGCAGTTATTGCCCATGTATTCCGGCTTGCAGAAGCAAGAAATTTCCTGGGGTGAATAAAATTGGAAATACCCATTAAGGTAGAAGTCTGACGTTAGGATAGCATGGAACATTGGTTGTGGCTAGCGAAAATGGGGGCGGGAAGGAACGTAGTTTGGGCAGAAGCATAAACAACGTAAATTGGTTATAATATTGAAGCATCAGAACTCTAATGGGGTTATATTGACTAAAAACAAGATAACTCGGACCAAACAACATTTTCGGTCAGCCAGTAATGTTTTAAACAACCTTCCATAAGTAATTTCAAGGTTTAGCCAAATAGAAAGGAACTTGCTTTTAGCCATTGAAAAGCAACAACACCCTTTGATTGGCATGCTTGAGCTGTACCAGAGGACCAGCAAATACATCATACTCTAATTAATGTCTTTGTGCAGTTTTTAAATATGTTCCATAAAACCTCTAGCTTTAAGAACGGAACCAATGATTTCATTAAGACGAAGATAATTTTCAAGCGTGGTGATATAATTTGCAGCATGAAAAGTTTTTAAAATCTATTTCTGATGGGTAATTTTGATGTCTCCATGCTTTTTTTGTACAAACAGGTCAGCAATCTTGACGGAAATTGCAAACTCGAGACTATGTATGCAAATTAAGGAGATTAACTGCTATCTTTGTTACTACCGCTTGAATAGGGTACGCAGTAGCAAAACTATGTCAATAAAGTGCTTATGAAATGAGGAATCCTTATCTACCAGATCAGGGCATCGATTTAAAATTTTACAAAAGTTGTCTCTCAATAAATAAGCTTAAGGTGATTCTTCAACGCAAACCGGGGCACACTAATGAAGCCTAATACACAAACAATTCGATAATTGCACCAGCTGATTCGAGGATTACGGCACTACGCGTACAGAAATGATGTGTAAAGGAAAGCCTGCTGTGCATGTAGCATGAACCAGAAGTTCGCTTAATAAATGCGCAAATTGAACTGCTGAAAAAGACATTCACTGAACACAAATGCTTACATTTAACTCAGAATCGTATGAACAGGAAAGTGTGCCATCAGGAAAGCACACTGGTTCATTCTTTCGTTCACAGGGATTGTCTGGGAGACAACACCGCAGAGTTGAACTCCAGATGAAACCTGGTTTGCAATCACACCGATACTGATGCTTAAAAAAGCCCTCGCCGTTTAACTGACAAGTACCAGGGACTTCTCCCGTTCCTGAGCAGATCTCCGCCTGGTTGCAGGGATTTGGGCACATCTCCAACATCCTAGGTCGTCGAGTCGGCGGCAAACCGAGCATCAAGTGACACCAATACATGCATTGAATAAGAAGAGTTCTCCTAATTAGCACTAAGTCCTTGTTGCTAAAATCGTCAAGGGGTTCTTTGGACCACTTTTCCTGATCCACTTCGTTCATAAGGTGATTGGATATCAGGGGTCGATAAAAGTAGGGGAACAGTTTACCCAGGCTATTTCCGAAGGTTTCGCGCATTTTCGAACTGCATGAAGTTAGGTTTTCCACGAGGCATCTGCCTACATCTGTGTTAGTCACAGCCGATAAGAGTTCATGGGTCCAGCTTCCCGAGACATTGGTCCAAAATGGGGTCTCGACCTGGCCGTAGTACGCATGGATTGCGGCGACTGGGTACAGGGGGCCGCCATAGAGCTCAAAGGGGACACCATCAGCTAATTCTTGTGGACAAACGTACGGACTGAAAGCGCCTGCCACTTGCAAAATGAAAGCAGCGAACACAACCAACGGGTGCATTTGATTTGGTTAAAACCACCTCGTAGTTGGACTTAAGACCAAGTGATCGATAGCGTCAAGTCGAAATCATTATGCGCATCGATGGATTGTCAATCGATGAACGTAAATTAATTCACGAAGCATATTATTGACCGAATTCCAACAAGTACTCGGCACTTTGATATATGATAAATCCTAAGTCTAAAGGGCTTCCAAAGTCGAATACTTTTTAAACCCCCAATTTTAATCTCCGAAAAGCAAGACTTCCAACCGAAAATTTAAAATAGCCTTATAACCAGGGTACCAATGGAAATTTTTCACATTTGAAGCTGTTGAGCTCACGAAGACGGAAAAGACGTTTAAAATTACAATGAGAAATATTTACTTTTAATTTTTTTACAAAAATATTAAGCCTCAACTTCCATGTATAAATGCAGAAAACTAGAAATCGATGGAGGAGTATTCCAAGAGGGTTGAATCAATTTTTGAGAGTTCCGCGTCGATAGTTGTGTCGTCAAGAATGGAGCTGCTCTGGTTGATGATCTGCGGGTCATTTAGTGGAACTTTCACAGCCCGTGTTTTCACACCAGGCGTGCGTTGGGAGGAGCCATCCGAAGCTCCGTTTAATGCGAACTGAAGCCCCCTGGCGGCCTTTTGTGCCAGTTCATAGAACTGGTTTGGGTGGTTGATGTTTACAGAAGCCGCATCCTCAGGAGACAACTCGGGGTGTGCAGCCTAAAAAGGAACAAGAACCAAAGTTTTACTTCATTTTGTATAGTAATTCATTCAGTGGAGGGAGATTTGGCTTACCACGTGAAGCATATACAAAGTTTGGAGGTGAACAGTGCCATTTAAGCTAACAAGAGAGCAATGAGATGTCACATTTATTGCATTCTGATGATCGCTACTAACTTCATATAAGCAGCTACGATATGCTTCTAATTTGTCTCCATTTCCTTTCTCTTTAGTTGGGTTTATTTTAATAGATGATGTCACATGGACATCTTGATTTGTTCGATTTCATTACTAAACGTAAACCATTCGTACTGACATAAAGTGCTTCTCAACCGCCTTGAAGGTAAAATACGAGTCAAAATTCACAAGAAAGTACGGTGATTATACATGTAGGAAGGCGAAGGGAGATGAAAGTGGTCGAGTGCAAGTAAGTGGGAGTGATTATCTTTAACAAGCTCTCGACTCGAGTGCAGACGCATGCAAAAGAAGCAAGTTGAAAACTGCAATAAACAACGTACTAGCTAGTGCTTAAATCTGCCATCGGTTTTGCAACTGCGCCACCGCATATGAGAGAGACGAGCAAAATGGCAAGGCCTATTTTCGAAATCTGCGCACAAACGGCCCCACGTCATCACTTTACTAAGGAAGAACATACTACAGGGTACATTTTGTAGAGAACCGGACCTAGCATAGTCGTGTGATGCTTCCGAGGCCAACAACTTGTCACGGTTGAAATTGTCGTTATTTCAGTTTGGTTATCCAGGTTTTGTATCGATAATAATAGAATAAGGCAAATTGATGCGCTTGCACACTTAAAGATTGTAAAGATTCAATGATATAGATGGCTCTCACGTGAGGTGACCAATTTCTTTTTTCTATATTTTCCGCAATGCAGATGACACATGACTGTGTCTGATAGACTGGATAATTCAGGGCAGATACAAAATCCGTAAGCAATAAGTGGTCGTGAGCACAGTGCAGACAAGCAAAAAATTAAACGTGTCAAAAACTTAGTCCTTCACATTTCGCCAGCTAAGCCTGATTAAAATTTCACCAAGACTTATAGACCAAGAATTATTTAAACAAACCATACTTCACTATTGGGAAGGGGGCGAATTTCACTACTGCTTTAACACAAGTCCCCTTTCATCAAGTCATTCAAAGATCTGATACAGATTGTTAAGGTACGGTTATTTTAATGACATTTTGGGCTTTTTCGGCATACCAAAAAGTACTGACGTACTTTAAAGAACTCCCTGCAGGCTAGCTGATATTGCTTATCTTTGGCTCGAGTGACGATGGCCTCAACGCGATCAGACGAAAGCTTGCCGCCGACAGCGAGGCGTTGGCGCAGCAAATCCAAATCCAGATGTCGGAAGGGGCATCCGTGAAATTCACCTGTAGCCGGTTGATTAAACGAAATAATCTGAAACCCAAAATCAATTATTGGACATTTCGAAACATCTCTGGTGCCGCAATACTTTTGGAAGGGCAAACACTTTACAGTGGTACCTTGTTGAATAAGATAACCATTAATGCCACACACAAACTCCAGTATAAGGCCCGGCTTAGGTATTTCTACATTTATTTGTACCATAACCAAAGTGGCTGCAACGCAGCCGAATACCGCATTTACAGCAACAAAGGTGATCCACAAAAGTCGCCAATACGCTGAGTCCAAGCGCTTAAACACCTGTTTTTATGATTGGGGGTTAATTGGAAGCTAGACAAGTCGTACGAACGGTGGTACTTCATTGAATTTAGTTTTTTTGTGATTGAGGTCGTATATCACAGTGTGGACGATTCATACAGGAGTACACGAAGCAACAATTTAGTGAGGGATAAATTGATTGAGCATTACCAAGGTGAGTTGGTATTAGCGGTGATATAGACTTTTCTCGTTTTCATTGCAGCTTTATCAGGGCACAAAGGAGGGGCGCTTGTTATATTCAGCTTTTGAGACAACTATGTGATGTGAATGCAAAGAAGAAAACGTCTAAAGTGAAGAAAGCGCAGATGGTAAGTAAGGTGACCTACCTTCATACAAGAATAAGGAGTATAGTCCGCTCGCTTGCCCTCTTTGCCGTAGTTATGACGAATACTGTAGGAGTACTGCTTGGCGAATTGATCAGGGTCGACCTTGGGAGCAAAGGCATTTCTCCAAAATTTCAGAGACTCGTCCAGTGGCAGGCCTATTCCCTAAAACGCAAGGTTAATTTGGGGTTCAGTTTGTGGCCGTGAATAAGCAGGTACTAAGACCCACGGCGCCAAACTTTCAACCAACACGTGGTTCACTCAGTGAACAGTACACACACTGTTAGAGGAAAAGAGGTGTCGGACTGCAAGATTTTGCTGTAAAATAAAAGAAAGCCATGATCAAGAAGATATTTAGTCATGAACGTAAATGCCTTTGAAATTGGTATACTTAAGATGATATCCGAAATCACAAGATAAAGTATAATAAATACTAAGATGTAATAGAGACATAGCATTTTCACGAAAATGGAGTTGTCAAGGCTTATTTGGGAATCATTGTGTAAACAGGGTTCACTTAGGCTCGATCGCTGTTATTCCGCTACAAGTGTCAAAATGAACGGTGACAGAACCATTAAAAGAACTGTTTAAAACGAAAGCAAACTAAATTGACCTAGGAGACTGGAACCAACCTTTAAAAATAGACCATACTGCATGCGACCCCAGTGCCGGAGGTGGTGACTTGACGACAGGGCCTCATGCAGGCGCGACATGCAGGGAGGGAAGAGACCGGGAGTGCGGGCGAGAGACTCCACCTGACCAGCGGAGACGGCGCCGAAGACGGGCTTCTTTGTCCCGAAATCATCCTCACCGAGGTAGCGCTTCGAGAGACTCGTTAGAAGCGGTAGCAAGCGCGCCTCCTCATCGGCCAGACGCGGGACAAGAGCAAGCCCAAGTCGAGATAAGTTGCGAGACAGGGCCGCACGGAAACGAGTCACAATTAGCGTAACCAGCTCCGTGTCTGGAACGTAAGCGAAGCCTGCTTTCAGGAAGACCTGTCTACGACGGATGAGATCAGGTACTTCAGTAAAGTACACCTAAATGGAGAAATAGGTAAAACAAGCACTCAAACGTCAAAAACAGCACTCTGTATGACATACCAATATACTAGCTCATGTCTGGTTTCACGTTTCACGCATGAATACTATGAAAAACTACAACTATGTAGAGCGCTAATTACACCGGAGAATCATAATCGTTCTACTTGGAAAGCATCTACTCCGTAATTGGCAATTACAACAGAAAATTCTAGAACTCATAGCCAAGCGGTTTGTGGTGCTTCACCTCAATACTTAGGCGCGAATTCATAAGAGGCAAAGACGTCTTCATGATTAATCTTACCCCGAGTGCCAGTCCAAGTTCATTCACCAATGTTTAAGAAATGTTGCCAATGTCCTTGTGGCAAGACCGTTTTGTAAATTGAGGCCTGGTCGCCTCAAACGATGTGCTTATAATTATTTCTAAAAACATTTCCATGACCTCAGCTACAAACGAAATGACAGCTGCGAGGTAAGGAATCTGGACGGAAAGAGCTAATACGTTAATGCAGTTGTAGAGAGTGGAAGCACAACAAGATTACACATATACGTCTTTCGACAACAGACGGGTTTACTAGGTCATTTTTTGGTATAAATATTATGGGACGGCACTAAAATACTCAAACTTGTTTACGTGGGGGAAGATGCGGACATTTGTAGTTGATGGTCAGACATACTTTATAGTAAGTGGCATTGTTTGGATGAAAACCATAAAGAGTAGTGCCAGCCAAGAGTTGATTCTGAAGTGGTTGTGATTCTTCAGAACTGATGGGTGAAAAGTTAAGGTCATTTGCAGTGAGGAATTCACTAATAGTATCTGGACCCCGAATTGATGCAGCTCGCTCCAAGTTGAATCTGTATCGAAAAAGATCTGACTCCTGTTGAATAAACCAACGACGCATTGTTTCGCTGCGGCAATATGCAATCTGAAGGGGAAAACATCGTATTATAGGGCTCTGACATAACTATAATAATCATTGAAACACGTTTATTGGGAAAATTATTAGCAGTGCTTCAGATAGTTAAGTTGATAAAAAAGGAAGATGAAATTTAGACAACTGCAAGTGAACACTTAAGAACAATAGGTATAACAATGTATTGAATTAGTTACATGGCTTACATTTGAACCAGGTGTGATAAAAAATATAACGTTAAGAATAACACTAATAATAAGCATCAATTTGGCAATACTTTAACAGCAAATTTTCCCGGCGGGTATTATAACAAAAAAGTCAAGCTGTGCCTTACCGAAAAGGTATATGTGTAAAGTTAACACTAATTTGGCGATTAAATTGTTAGGACTTTAACATAACAAATAACCAGTATAAAAGGATCGTTTTACTGAAACACACGAAGAAGTGAGACGAAAATAGGTTAACTGGCTAGAACAGACTGTTTTAGATCTTATTAAACGTTCATATGCTCGATTATATATTAATCTGGAAGTGGCATTCGATAATAAACTCACTAGCGAAACACAATGAAACAAACCTGAAGAATGAAGTGAGACGTTACGTCCCTAAAAACATCTTCAGAGACATTTTTTGAATGATGTGACGTAAGAGTTAAGGATTTTCCGAATGAACCAAGTTTGGAGAGTTCAGATGTGAGCCTTTCTTCATACTCTTTACTACCACGAACGAAATCCTGTCCAACAGTTTCAACGCATTTAAGGACCTTTAACCGTTCAATTGCAAGTAGTTCCAGATGTTCCAACTCTAATTTGTGAGATGGTGGTTCGGAATAAAATTGAATGCGGGGAGTATATTGGTATTGCAAAACAGGCTTTACAAAGTCCATTACACAAATCAGTTGTAATCAACCCGAAGCACCCGCTTCTAATTCCTGGTACGACTTCGATGTATTAAAACACGCAGAACTTTTCCTGATATAAGGACAAAAGTGACTAATAAGCTACTGACATTTAAGTGCACAGTTTATTTGTTTATTAAACGCCTACATAAATCATTAGCTTATACCCCCAAATTGTTAAACTTTTAAAAATAAATGAACTCGTTCCAATGATCGATGTTGGCCTAATATTTTACTGGTCATATACCAATTCATCTAGTTTCTTAAAGCAAAATTATACTAGTAATTTTCACGCGACTGTATTTCATAATTCTTTAAAATTATCTGCCACCTTGCCAGGACTGGATTCCTCGTTTCTTTGTTCCTGAATTTTATGTGGAACTGTTGGCAGAAAGCTGGACGAATGACACCGCCCAGCATCAGTGTTGCTTAGCGTTTATTTTGAGTAAACCTAGCCTTCTTTTTCAGCACATTTTTCAAAAATTGCGTTCGAAGTAATTGCAGCCGAATCTTACCTTTATTATCCTTCTCAATTCAGACAAATACGTATTAGAACTAATTCATTCGCTTTCGTGTCTAAAAATTGCTCTTAATAACTCACCATTTGGTCTTGTCTAGCGTCTGCAATGATATACATTTATTGAGCCAATCTCTGCAATAACTGTCAGAGCAGGCAAATTCGTCGACACAGTTAATAACGGTAACGACATTTTCTTCTTTTAGACAAGCGATTCCGCTCTCCACAATTTACTATGTGTGTGGACATTTTTTTCTTCTCAAGGATTTGTTAATGTAACAGCTTGACCTTTAGAAGTTTGCATTGAGGTCAATATGACCCATATTGTTTGAACAGATGATTGAGGTGTACGTGAGTTCTTTAGAACACCAGATTTTTCTGAATGCAAACATTTCCTATTCTGACGTATCTTCTAGAATCTAGCAAACAGGTACTAATGTTTATCCGCCAGTTCAAACTTTTTCTTATTTCGATTGTCCTTTTTGCAAACTGTTCAGGCAGGCCTTGATGAATGCCGAAATATCAAGGCCTCTTCTTCATTCTGGTGTATTTGAGCTTAATTATGCGTCTCTAAAACAAAATTGTTCCAACTTTTGGCTACAAGTCAATATCGACTTCCGCATCCTATGAATATTTGCTAACAAACATCGTGATAAAAAAACGACTACCCCAGACGGATCCTTTGAAATTGCGCGGATTCAGGTTAAATTAGTTGCGCCATATTAAGTCTCTGTCTAAGTCATTAATGGCCAAAGTCTCTTTAAACAATATTGTCATGGCCTTTTTATTTTTACAATATCCTGAAACTGCTTACAGGCTACAATAAACACCGATTTTGCTAAATTAGCTCAAGAAGTGACAGTAAATTTACCCCCTAATACTCAATCAGCAATCAATTTCCCTTCACATTTCCTTTTCTTTCTTTTTCTTCTATTTTCTGTTTTGCCCAAACGTTTAGACTCCCAATGTGTTGTGTTGATGTGGTACAAACAAATTCGAAAATCAGCATACGCATGGAAAGAGAAGCCAGTCTACCTAGCTTTACTTTAAGTGGACTGGTTTTACTGAATCACCTAAAAATGTCATTTTCCTTTTTTTCAAGAATGTTTTACACACGCTTAGGTTTTTGGACAATACTATTTCATGATTAATAGGCAATGAGTTAGCTTTTAAAAAACGTCGTTTACCTTGTGTAAAATCGAACAATGAGACATTGCTCAAAGGCTGGCGTCCACACATGTATGCATATTTTTTTCCGCTGAAGTGATCAGTTGTTTTATTTGCGCACAGATCAAAATGGCAGTTTTGCATGCCTCTACATGTTTTGATAATGTTAACGCCACTGATGCAAATATTTGAAATGTTCTAAACACTTCTGCTTTCAGAATTCATGACAAACTGTCAACGGTAAAATAATTTTTGCATCCGTGGATGGGTAAAAGATAGGTCAATTATGCATCGTAACAAATCTTTTTACCCGTCTATGTATTCAAATCTTGCACAAGACTTTATTCATACTCTGGAATTTAGACGGTAACTATTTTATCCAATTTTTCAATGTAGGGTTTGTGGTGGGCCCTGGCGTGGTTTCTATAACCACACCAGGCCCGACCGAAAAAAGAACAGAAAATGCTGACAGCGCGTAGCTCAACTAATTTATTGATGCAGATGTGTGTGTCGTGTACAAGAAATACGTTTGTATAGCCTTGCTAAACATTGATTCCTGAACGAACATAGTTAGGTGGAGTTCATTCACGTAAATAAATTGAATCATGTTCGCTCATGACTGATAGCTGTACTCGCCGCAGCTCCTTCCTTGGTAAAAGGAATTATAGAACAATCGTCGCCGGATGGTGTTTGGAATCGATGTTTTGTCAGTACGTTAAGGCGCGTAAGAAGATTTGGCGTCGTTTAAAGGTGATTGTGGTCAGAGATAAAACCGCAAATGTGCCAAATAATAGGTAGTAGAAGGTCGATACGCATTCGAAGACGAGAAAGTAGGGGTGAAAAACGAGTCAAATTGAATTAACGAACCTTTTATTTCACTGAAAGGTCAGTCGACGGTGTGATATAGTTAATTGTACGTTCGCTGTATGAGGTAGACGAGATCGAAAATTAGGAGTCGAGTCAATTAGATGGTAAGGACAAGGCGAGGGTCAGTTGAGATCTGCAGCAAACAAGCAAGAACAAATCGGGAGTCGGGTTGAGCTGTAGTGGACTGACAGCCGCCCAGCGCGAATGTGCGTGCATGGAGGCCCGTGTGTAGCGATGACTCATCCCCTTTTGTTATTGATTTTTGTCAGCATTCGCCTGTTACGCACGCGTACTCATACGCAGACAAAGTCACTTGGATGTTTTGACATCAATAAAT